GTTAAGTTAAAAATAATTTTTGTACTTTAAAAAAAAATATATTATATGCATTAAATGCTTGATGTTTTTAAAAAAAAAATTATATACATATAAATTTTTATTTTTATCAAATATAAAAATTTATATGTATTTATATCTTCAGATACAAAGAGAAAGGAGATCCATCTGGCTTCAAGCTCTTCTTGAAGGGTCACAAACTGTCCTGTGGGATTTTTCCTCGCTATATTTGAAATAGACTTCATATCATTTTCCATATGGCTGGGGTTGTATTTTTGTATAGAGATTTGTTAATAAACTATCTTGAGAAGTCCTGCAACAATCAAACATCACTCAGGACTTCTGTATTAGGAGATTTAAAAAATCCCTCAATTTGCATCCACTTGCAAGCACTTGGTCTCTTAGGAAAACTTTTGACTGGACCGTGGTCCAGGAAATCTAAATTCTTTTGAAAGGTAAACTCCAATTAATGACCAATTTCTATATATTTTCTTTTTTAGCATACTTATTTTATTATTCATACGAATAACTGATGTTCTTAGAGAGCACTTACTTAGGTGAAGATGCGTCGTAATTAGGCACAGTTCATTTACAGTCTTTGCTAAATCTTTTTTATAGTTAATAAATAAGTTGTGCACGTACCCATTTGTATATTTTTTTTCTGTAAAAGACTTTAATAAATGATCAAAGTCTTTTAAATTTTTTGCTATACTATTTTTTGAGTTGAAAGCTGTGAAACAACAAATTACTGTAAATAATTCTGTTTATATATATATATATATATATATATATATATATATATATATATATATATATATATATATATATATATATATATATATATATATATATATATATATATATATATATATATATATATATGTATATATATATATATATATATATATATATATATATATATATATATATATATATATATATATATATATATATATATATATATATATATATATATGAGAGAAAAATATCAAAAATGTGACATGTTACATCCAATACAATTCAATCACTATATTTTACAAATCATTTATACAAATTAAATTAAGTTGAAAAATGTAAATTATTTGTGTATTAAGTCTTAATACACAAATAATTTACATTTTGATTTAGTTATAAGATGTAACTGCATCATAAATAAAAAAATAATGAAATAATAACATCAAAAATAAATGATGCATAGATACGAAATTTTTTTGAAGTCAAAACATGGTAACTGGCGGAGCTCATAACTTTGTAGGGACAAACTTATATACAAAAAGGGAATATAAATAATAAACTAGATACATTGAAGTTTATGACAATTCAAAAACATCTTTGAGATTTTAGATATTTATAAAAATATTCAAATTTGAAAACTGACCTTTTTTTGAGTCTATATATCTTGTCAAAAATCCGTACTACTAAAAAAAATTGAGCCACCGTTAAGAAGAGCTTAACGGTGGCTCAAAACAAAAATGCTTAGGAAAAAATAATGAAATTTTTGCGCGTCCGCGCAATCGATATTGAAGTGCCTATTACAATATTTGCATATTCTTGCGGCGAAAAAACCACGTGATCATTGCGTAATTAAAAACAAAAATATCTACCATTATGATATGGGGGCAAACCAAGGCGTACTTAAATAACAGGCCTTCTCATCGCGCAACGGCTTAAAAAATGTGGAGGCTGATTTAGTTAGCGGCAAAAGTTACTACGAATAACTTGTATCCCTACCAGAAGACTTAAAAATGCCCAGAAAATGTTGTGTTACTGGTTGTAACTCTAACTATGACTCAGTAAAAGATAAGACAACTACTTTCAGATTACCGAGAGATCCAGTAGAGCGTCTAAGATGGATTAAAGCAATCCCAAGAGAAAATATACCAGACAAACATGACACTGTAGTTTGTGCAAAACATTTTCCACCAAACTTCCAAGTTATTAAAGTAAAAGGAAGAGAAAGACCTCGAGATCCACCTAGTGTATTCGAACAAATACCCAAGAGTTTAGTGCCAACTCCTCCACCAGAAAAAAGAACAACAACAAAATCCAAAAGCTCTGTAAGATCAATAAAAGAAGATGAACTTTCAAAATTCGAAGAGCTTTACAAAATTGATTCATTTGAAAATTTTTGTAATTTGTTATCTCTAGAAAAACTTAATGATTCAGTTGTTTATTATAATTGTTTAAATAGCTGTTGTATTCAATCAAAAGAGCATGAAAACAATACTGGTATTAATAAATTTTGTTTAATAGTATTTAATGACTTATCATATGAAGCCTATCATGCTGGAGTAAGATGCACTATTGCTTCCTTAGTTAAAAATCGTATTCATAAGTTCAAATGTTGGTCGCAAGTTCATGAGGCATTACGATATTTGATTTCCTTTGAAAAGTCAGAAAAGAAAACAGTTTTAATTCAGCAATTTGAATGCATGAGTAACATGAACTCAAGTAATATTCTTAAGCAAAAATATTCGCCTGAAGTAATTGTTCGAGCTTTTGAGTATTTTGCACAGTCACGTAGTTTATACAATCAATTAAGAAATGATTTTCAACTTCCTAGTATTGCTACCCTTACATGTTTAACTTCAAAAGTTTCACACTTTGATGATAATACTTTTATTTGTAGTGTTTTTTCAAAACTCAACAATGGTCAAAAACAATGTATACTATTATTAGATGAAGTTTATGTTAAACCTATGCTAACTTATCATGGAGGACAGTTGTTTGGTAAAGCAGTAAATGATGAATCAAATCTTGCAAAAACTGTATTGGCTTTCATGGTTGTATGTTTTTATGGAGGACCAAAATTTTTAGTTAAAATGTTACCAGTAAATAATTTAGATGCAGATTTTTTATATGATCAAACTATTATCTTAATCAACCAAATTACGAAGGCAAATGGAAAAGTTATTGCTTTAATTAATGATAATAATAGAGTAAATCAAGCATTTTTCAAACGATTTGATTGCATATTTCCATGGTTAACAACTGATGGCATTTTTTTACTCTTTGATTTTGTGCATTTAATAAAAGTGTATACAAAACAATTGGATAACTGAAAAGTCTGGTGAAATTGAGTTTAGTTATAGAGGAAAAAAATATAATGCTAAATGGGATCACATCAAAAAGCTTCAAAAGTTAGAAGAAGGTGAATTGGTTAAAATGTCTAAGTTGACTTATGTTGCTGTTAACCCAAGGCCAATTGAGAGACAAAAAGTTGATACATGTTTAAAAGTTTTTTGTGAAGAGACTATAAATGCATTAAAGTGTCATCAAGGTATGAAAGATGATGATATTGATGGAAATATTATTTTTTTAACTAAGGTGGTTCAATTTTGGAAAATAGTCAACGTTAAAAGTCCATCCGAAGAAATCCACTTGAAAGACAACTTACGAGCTCCCATATCATATGTTGATGATTTACGATTAAATGATTTAATTGAGTTTTCTGAAATGTTAAAGCCAACATTGATTCAAGGAAAAAGAATTAGAAGTATAACCATGGATACAAGCAATGCATTATATCAAACTTGTAATGGTTTAGTTGAACTAAGTAAGCATTTGTTAGACAATTCTCAAATGTATGTACTGCTTGGGAATTTTACAACAGACCCCATAGAAAGAGCATTTGGAAAATTCAGACAAGGTAGTGGGGGAACTTATTTTATAAATACTCAACAAGTAATTGAAAAGTGGAATATCAACAAAACCAAACTATTTCTTCAGAAAACTATCAACATTTCAAGTGCTGAGTTTACATCTGGTCATATTTGTGATAATTGTTTTTATAAACTTTCAGAAGATGAGTGTGAGATGTTTAATCATTTACATGAACTTTTAGACCAACTTTCATTGAATATTAAGTCATCTTTAGTTAACATTGCAGGTTATATTTCTAGAAAAGACAATGAAGATGATAACGATGACACTTATCTGTATTATAGTAATTATGAAAATTTTACATCTGCCTTAGATCGTGGTGGTTTGAAAATACCCAGTGATACATTTTGTGAATGGGTATTCTTAAGTTACATTTTGTTTAATTTTGTTGGCACATCAAACTTTTGTAGATATTCTATGTCCTGCTTATTCATGGATATTGCATGTATTTATGGTTTCACCATAATTACAAGAAACCATTGTTATATTCTTACAAATATATTATTTAACAATTTTTGCTATATGCATTCACCTGCATCAGACAAGGAAACCAAAGTTAAAGCTTTAAAACTGTTTTGTTAGCTTTTGTGAATAAATATACAATAAAAAGTTTCCAATTTAACTTTAGATGATATTTCGTTTAAAAATTGTTAATTTATATTTTTACTTTTTAATTCTTTCTGTTAATGTTTCATTGTATGCAAATACATAGAAGTAGCTTGGTTTTCTTTTGTTATTTTTGAACTTACAAGGTGTTGTTTTTTTTTTACTTTCTTGACAAAATAACAATTATTTTTGTTTTATAAACGTTTTTGTAATAAAAATATCGACTTCTTTATAAAATGATAAAATATTATTTAGTAAAAAATGGCATGGTTTAAGCCTTACATTCTTCTTATCCTTAGTTTTTTATTTAATCAGGTTATGCATTTAGAGAAATAGACTAAAATAATCAAATCACAAGCTCCTACTATAGTGTTAAAAGAATTTTTAAATATTTAAAACTTAAAAAAAAAATTGTTTAATAGTTGAGAGCATCAAAACCAAATCAGCCTCCACATTTTTCAAGCCGTTGCGCGATGAGAAGGTCTGTTATTTAAGTACGCCTTGGGGCAAACAAACGCGCTGATTTCAGTACATCATTACTTAAACGCCTTGAAAATGTCTTATGATTATCAAGAAAAGTTATCTAAAAAAACTGCTGAACGATACCAGAACAATATTTAGCGTTATATTGAAATAAATCTGTACAAATGCTTAAAGGAATCATGGAATTCAATTAATTCATCATTTTGAAATTATTGGCAGTTTACAGATGTAATCAATAAATAAAACAAAAATATTACATATTGATATTCTAATAACATTTAAAAATTCTATATTTTGCTTAAAATTTTCCTCAGTGTAATATTTATTCCTCATGTTTTTAATATATGTGAAATAAATGTTATAAATAAAAAATATTTTTTACAGTATAATAATGAAATGATCAAAATTACTAATTACAACAACTTGAATTATAACATCGTAACAATATTTATAAAGTTTTTTAGTAAATAGTATGAGTATTAACAATATTATGTCTTGGCTTTTAAAAAATAACATAAATGACTTTTTATCTTCATTCACGAAGGTACTCTCTAAAACCAGTGACAACAGCAGAAACTCTCTACTAAAGAAAATAGAACCAATTTATGCTGAAAGCATTTACAAATTAATGATTTATGTATCATGTTAACATGAAAAATAAAAATTTAATTAAAAATATAACTAAATAGTAAAGAAGAAACTTACTTTGTAAGATTGTTTTTGTGACCTAGGAACAATCCTAAAGATTAAAAATGACAACATTAAAAGTATGTTTTACTTTAAAACATGTTTAAGTAAAAAAATCTAATAATAATTTGTAGCAAGAGGCACCAACGAGAAGGTAAGCAAAGTTGTCTATCAACACAAAGCATCACAACAATAACATCACTATAATAACACAATAAAACAAAATAAAATTATACACATAATGACTTACAAGTGAACCAACACCACACTAGAGGTTGAAACAGAACACAAACACACATATAATATCTAAAGGGTGAGCCAACACGACACCAGAGGTCGACACAGAACATAAACACATATATATTGACTTATGAGTGAGCCAACATACACATAATCACTTACCTAGCCAATGCTGCATTATTTTTAAACTACCATCATTCTCAGCTAAGTTAACTTGTTGTTTCATGTTGGTTCAAGACACTAACATCTTCCACTCCAGTCAACGAATTGTCAGTACTTATTTGTTCACTGACTTGAATAACTTGAGATTTATTGCAATGACTTTTTTGTACATAATATTCTAAAAAAATATAAGCATGTTTGAGGTATATAGTAAATACAAAATTTGTGCTTAACAAGCTATTGAACATTAATTTATTTAAAAATAAAAACAATAAACACATGATTTATAAATGCTTGTTTTAATGCATTAATATTTTTATATACAATTTATTTTTGTTATGCATCAATGCATAACAAAAATAAATTGTAACTATTACATAAACAGTTTTTACAAAAACATTTTAAACAACAAGAAAAACTATATTATATAATTTATCTTGTTGTTTATACAGTACATACCAATACTATATAGTATATACTAATTGAATTGTTTAATCTATTTATTCTCCTTTCATTTCACATAACAATTGGTTATGTTGGAGGGATGATTTCACTATACTTTTTTTTAGCACCTAACATATTTACTGAATGAACATAGTCAACATGCTTTTCAAAATTTTGAAAAGCATCTAGACTATGTTCTTTTTTTTCCTAAACGAGAAACATACTTACAATGAATAAAAATATATAGACGAAAAAAACTTAATAAGTTCAAGAAAAATTTGTGCTCAAATATTTTGACGATTCAAATACAAAACTTGCCAGATACAAAATGTTTTGAGCATACTTAGACATGTTTTGCGACCAAAGTTTGTTTTTGCAAGATGAATCAGTTCTATATAAAGCATAAAGCCCCGATTTTCTTCTTTTTGGATCAGGAAGCAAAATATAAAAAATCAAGTTCGGATGACTATTAACATTAATTGAACAATCAAAAACACATTTCTCCATTTTCAAGCGCTTTGTTTGCCCCCATACCATAATGGTAGCCGTTTAGTTAGTTAAAGTGACGTCACGTTCGCCGCAAGAATTGATATATTAAACTTTAATTTAAAATAAAAAAATGATAATAACTAAATAAATCAGATTAGAATTTATATTTTCTTATTCTGGTTATACATTAAGTTTTATAAAATATTATATTTTTTGAAAAAACTATGAATATTATAATTAACATATTAGTTCTGCTAACTTAGTTGTCCTCCATAATGGCAGATTTGAAATCAAAACAACTCTTAATTATTTCGTGACGTCGAGCTAGGAACGGTGAGTAAGTTCTCGAAAATGTGTAACTAAAGTTTCGAGTTTGACAGTATGCAAAGTTAAAAAACAAAGTAAATATTTACAAAACAAAAGTTTTTTAATAAATTCAATAAATGTATAAATTTTTTGTAATATATATTTAATATGTTATAAAAGAAAAATTCAATTTGAAAATTTAAAAAAATTATTTTTTTGTTTACAACCAAAGCAAATAGGATATTTATCATACCTTCTTTGCTTTTGGTCATGTTCGAATTTGATAATCAAAATAAGTTTTTCTTATGCAGTTTTTTACGCTGATTTCAAAAAACTAAACTTTAAATTATGAAAAACCACTGCATCAGTGTTAAAAAAAATTAAATGCTTCGATTCACCAATATCCTGCAGTCCAAGGAGAATGAAACTTTTAAAAGTCTTGAAATAATTTAAAGCTGTGGTGAATAATTTGGATTAAAATGAAATAAATTCAAGAGAGATAATAATGCTGAACAAGTCGTACAACCGAACAGTCGAACACTTTCTGAAAAGTCAATCAATATTAATCGCTTTGCCGGCCCGGTCGGACGCCGAACATGGCGGCCATAAAAAAGTCGGACAATGGCGGACATCGGACAAAACATTCTTCAATCAAAACCGAACATTTCGATCACGGACACCGTTGAGAATTTTTCAATTCAAACCGATCTTGTAAAACTTTTTTGAATCGGTCGCACATCGGACACAATGTGGCCCATGTCCGGCCATCTCTATATTTACAATAAAGATTTCGTTAACAATAGAAATATAACAATAAATATAACAATAAAAATTAGAAATAAAGAATGCGGAAACTCGAAGAAGTCATTGAGGTCTTGTCGTAGAGAACTGCTGGAATCAAAACGCTTTAAATGAATTCATTTTTATTGATTTTTTGTAAATGTTTATTCGCTTTTAAATTGGATCTGTTTCCATAAATAATTATATAAACCGTTGCAAAGAATAGTTGAAAATAGTTAATATACTTCAGTATATTTATTGATGTATTTGATGACGGCATAGTGTGTTGGTGATGTTAATATAAATAGATTAAAAATAATAATAATTGAATTGAACATATCTTGAATTAAAATTGTAGAAAATAAAATCAGGGTGGGGTGGACATTCTTGTTGATAATTAGCTCTTGTTCTAATATAGTTTTTTTTTTTTTTTTTTTTTTTTTTTAAAGTTTATATTGTGTTTGCATCTTTACCATACAAACGATCATAGGTGGTATCAACGAATCCTAATCCAGCCCAAGGATTGCCAAGCAGTTTTAGTTGGGTGTTCCTACGCCAGAGGTTATGCAGCACTATTCTTTTTTTTTTTTTTTTGAATATACATAGATTGCAAGCACACACACACACCCATACTAACAGCACATATACACCCATATATATACCAGTATACATACATAAATACATACATACACAGATACACATACATATTTATACATAATTTTTTTTTTTTTAATTTTTACAAAACCGTGTTATAAAAACCGTAATAAAATTTTTTGTTTTTTGTTTTTTCAAATACTAAATAAAAAATAAATCTGAAAATTTAAACATACTAGCAATATAAAATATAAAGCAATATACAATACAAACTCAAATAATAAATATTTATACATCTATTCAAAGCTATTAGTTTCAGTACAATCTCAATGTAACTATATACTTAAGGTGAGTTTCCATCAGGGTTCCATCCGTTTTTTTACGGGAACGGGATAGGAAAGGGAAAAATAATCACGTGAGCATGCGTAGTTTCCTTCGGACATATTAAAACTTATGCTACGCATGCCCACGTAATTATTTTTCCCATCCTTTTTTTAAGTCTAAAAAGTTCCAGAAGCATACATTTCACCTTCTGTAGCAATATTTTTATCATCAAAACCCTTTTTTATTGCTCTGAGCTTTTTTCTTTGTTTTTTAACAATATCACTTGATTTTTTTTTAGAACTTTTTAAGCGTTCTATATCATATTTATGTAAGCCGTATATACAAAATTGACCAGGTTGCAAACCAAAGCTATGATAAACACTTAACAAACTATAACCACCTTCATTGAAACATAGCACTGCAGATGCTACAGCTATATCAATTAATAACTTTTCTACAAAAACCTCTTTGGGGCACCGTTTCTATATTAAACTATGCAAAGCTTCATTAACGTTTTGTGTTTCACCGACAAGACAAGCTTCAAGTAAAGTATTATTGCCTAAATCCTTATAACTAAAAATATTTTACCATTATGGCGCGAAATAACGTAATATTTTAGCGCATATTCTGTAAAATACCAAAAGCGAACACCGAGAATGTTCGGTCCGAGAATTAACGAACTTCACCGAGTTTAGGGTGCGCCGTGTACAGGTCCGCCAAATTAAGTAGATTTTCAAAATTGCGATTTAAGCTTCTAATATTTACGTGAAGGATTTTAATTTCATCGCTTGCTTTTACATTACCCTTCAAAAAAAACTCTGCTTATTCACTTGGATAATAATATGAACAATCACTGAGCAAATCACAATAATAGTTAGTGTCGGGATCTGAGAATTCATTTGAGATGCAATCTATTTTATAAAAATTTAAGATTTGGTTTTCAAAATTACTAATGCCGCCCATTTTTAACAAGTGTATCTATAGAAGGGTTTCTTTTGATAAAAACTTATTTGTTGAGTTCTCTGCAATAGATCTTATCGAACTTTAAGGTACTTCTATACAATTAGACAACTTTTTTCCTAAAAATTGATATATTAAGTGATTCATTACATCAATTACAAATATAGGTCAAAAAATGACAGAATTTAATTTTTTTTTTTTTTTTTTTTTTTTATGCATATAAAAAGTGGGTTTTGGTCCCAAAAAGGGGCTAAAACTGTTTACACAATTACTTAACATAGGGTGACTGTTAAATTTTGAAACTTGCACAGTTGTTTTATAACAATGTAAACTACAATCTGTGCCACTTTCACATTCCAACTATAAAAACTTGCAAAAATATAGCCATTTTCATAAGAATAGGTGATTTTCACAATTTTACTCGCCTATTCAAAATTTCATAAGTACAAATCTGAGTAAGCGAGTCTCTTCAATGAGGGTCATTTTGTAGCTATATAAGTAAGCAACATTTGTGGAAAATTTCAAGAAGTTTCATAAAGTATGAGTGAAAATATCATGTAAACGGTATAACCAAAACTACAAAAAGTATGTACTGAGAAAAAACAGTTTTAAAAATCAGTTAATATTTATTGACATAAAACAAAACAGAGTTAACTCAATAGGATCCTGAATTATAAGATTGGCACCCTTCAATATCTTTGTTTTTGTCTATATACCCTTTTCTTAGGCTTCTTCTTACTTTTCTTTGTTTTTTTGAAATATTAGATGATTGTTTACGATGAATTATAACTCTATGATTATCACTTTTTAAAGCATTTTGTTCAAAAAAACTTCCACGTGGAATATTTAAACAATCAAAAACATTTCCATTACCATTAATGCCATCATTGAAACTTATGATAGCAGAACACACACCAATTGTAAGAACTTTCCTGCTACAATAAGTAGATTTTGGACAGCGTGCCCAAATAATTCCATTCAAACACTCATTTACATTTTGCGTTTGGCCATGAAGGCATTTTTCTAGCAATGAATCTTGACTTAATTCCTGAAAAATAGGTTTCAGTTCATCTCTTATGGCTAAAGGCAAAGACAATTTTGACTTGTATGTTTTACTCCCAGTGAGATTGTCTGATTGCCATTTACACCATCCATTAACAACTTTTGGACAAAACATGTGCCGCTGCTCTTCTAGTACATTTTCAGAACAATGAAATAAAACAGCACCAATTGCTTTTTTCATTGCATAAATCATAGTATTTTGACGAATAGCCATTCCAAAATAGTTTTGAAGTAAATTTATGGCTTTTTCAGTTAAGCGCCCTTTTCCAAACATTTTTTTTCCATCTGATAATAATTGCACTTTGTATTTTTGTTTCAGTGTGCGTAACTGTGAACCAAGTCTTTTTTGAACATGGCCCACACACTCTAATTTATTAATTATGAATGCATCTCCATATGGCTTTGATTCAACTACCCTTTTAAATGAACTAGAATCACCATCACCAATGTAATTGTTATACCTTAAGTTATATTTTGACTCAGAACGGTTGAACATATGAACTGCACCTTCAGATTCCATTGAACCTGCAGATTTGGTATGATTTATATCACAATCGTGATCAGAAAACCAAGTGTTATAAGCTTCTGTTCCACGATGTTTCTCCCATATTTCACATGCTTTGCATTTTTTAGTCATAATATAAAAATCAATACATTTATCAATTTCCAGCCCGCGTGCAATGGTAGTAACAACACCGTTAAGTGAATCATGGCCACGTTTTTGCTAAGTACCATCAACAGATACAGTGCAATTAGTGAGCAAATTATTTCTGTCTACAAATAAACTTGCTGCATTTAGCATACTGTCAGCAGCTACTTTCGAGTAAGCATCCATTAGTTTTTTATTTATTTTATTATAAGCATTATCATTAATTGGTTCAGTCATATTCATAACCATTGAAAATTTTTTCATGGCTTCATGACCCAGACCAGTTTCTTGAAATGCCATTGTAGACCTCAAGTTGACATCATATCCTTTTTGTCCAGATTCTCCTAAAGCTTCAACTTCTTTGGAAGTGAAAATAAATTTACACCATTTACAGGTCT